TTTGGGTTTAAACAATCATCTCATGATCATTGTTTATTCACAAAAGGAGAAGGAATTGATTTTCTTGCACTAGTTGTATACGTGGATGATGTTTTAATCACTGGACCAAATGCAAGTAAAATACAAGAAGTTAAAGATCAATTACATGCAGCTTTTACAATAAAGGATTTGGGAGAAGCAAGCTATTTCCTTGGAGTAGAATTGTTAAGAACAGAAGAAGGACTTTATGTCAACCAGAGAAAATATATAATGGATATATTGAATGATACTGGTATGATTGGAGTCAAACCCACAAAAACACCTGTTATAAAAAATTTGCAGTTGTGTTCAGATAAAGGAAAAGTATTACAAGAACCAGAGAAATACAGAAGATTAATTGGAAGATTGTTATATCTAAACTTCACAAGACCAGATATCAGTTATGCTGTACAACAATTGAGTCAATTTCTTCATTCACCAACTGATATCCATTGGAAAGCTGCTTTATATGTGTTAAAATACCTTAAAGGGTGTCCTTCTAAAGGTTTATTTTTTCCAAAAGATTCATCACCTTTAACCATTACTGCCTATAGTGATTCAGATTGGGCATCTTGCACTGATACTAGAAGATCACTATCAGGATATTGCATATTTCTTGGTTCTTCACTTGTATCTTGGAAGACAAAGAAACAGAAGACAGTTTCGAGATCATCTTGTGAAGCAGAGTATAGAAGTTTAGCTGCAACTGTTTGTGAACTTTTATGGATAAGCTACATCTTAAGAGATTTGAAGGTAAAACTGAAGATTCATGTATCTCTATGGTGTGACAACAAATCAGCTATACATATCACTGAAAATCCAATCTTTCATGAAAGAACAAAGAATCTCGATATTGATTGTCATTTAGTTCGAGATCAATTCAAACTTGGCTTTGTAATGCCTCGACACATCCCAACTAATCAACAACTCACAGATATCTTCACAAAAGGACTTTGTAGTCAGCAATTTCAATATCTTCTTTCCAAGATGAACCTTAATGATATTCATCAATGTCCATCTTGAGGGGAGGATGTGAAATTATAAAGTCAAAGTCAATAGAGGGATAATATTGTAATTATGTATAGTTAGAGGTAGCTATATGTAAATAGTTAGAGTTAGTTATTTTCGTTATATTCTTCTCTGTATAAACTCAGCTCAAGTTGTTCAATATGAATATGACGAACAGTTTATCATCTTACACTACTTTCTCTCTCTAAATTCTTGTTACAATGTTGAAACGGCTAATGAGATGTATTAGAAACAAGATGAAATACCTAAATAAAATACGCCCCATTTTGAATAAGTACGGCTCAATACCTACATTGAATACGCTGAATCAGCTTCCTCCTCCTCACATACTTAGCTTCCTCCTCCCACACTTGTCTCCTACCAACCGAACACCTTAACACCACCCTTTCTCCATCTCTACACCACTAATCAGTCCTTCATCTCCATCTCCCCTATCGCAACACCATCATCACCAGCCTCGCCTCGCACCTCCAATAATTCAACCAACCTGAAAATCCCACCACCGGACCATCATCATCATACAAATTAACCACACTTGCGGTTCAAATTTAAAGGGTAAGAGCTTTGATTTATGTTTTTGCAAGAGACAAACACAGGCAGCGGTTCAAATTTAAAGGGTAAGAGCTTTGATTTCTGTTTTTGCAACAGAAAAACACAGTTAGAAATACAAAGGAACTACAACTGTTTCACAAGGAAGCATATGTTGAAGAAAGGTAATAAACCCTCTGTTTGATCTAAAAATAAAAAATATAATTTGAATGTAAATTTGAAACATATGAGGATAGTATTATGTATGTATTTAATACATTTTTGTTTGCAGCAACACAGACGGACACGACACTGAAGGACAATAACAGTGATAGTTGCAGTTGAAGCAATATAGAAGGAAGTATCATGTATTTTTGTAATTATGTAGCATTTCTTTCCCCCATTGACATATTTAAAAAATGACACAATATAACTCTTTTTTTTTTAATTCTTGCCCCCATTGACATATTTAAAAAATGTCATGAGTTGAGTGTTGATCAAATGACCAAAACGCCCTTTCATTCATGGTTTGGTTTGCTCACTTTATTTCAGGTACATCAAAGAAGGTTTAGAGAATTAAAAAGGACAATATGGTCATTTTGGCATATTTTCCTCTGAGGATTCCAGATCAACAGTCTCAAAAAATTCTATAGTAATTGTTGATAGAATTTTGAGTCATGGAGTAGTTCAGGATCACCATTTGTTACCTAATCAGGGGTAAATATGTCATTACATACCAGATCTTTCATACAAATAAATGTTGTTTGGATATAGTCATTTTACTTTTGGTCATTTTGGTTACCACTGATGTTGGAATTTGGATACAGATCATCATTTATTACAACTTTTGCATATTGTATTTTGCATCGAGATTAATGTGAATTATGTGACAAATTTTTATTATTATATGTTTTCCATGACAATTAAGATATGTTTTAACCCAATAAAAACTATAATAGCCAACTGATAAAACTGACCATGATTTGTTATTAGCATCTGGACATAAAGTCGCAAGTTATTAGGTTTTCTTTCATTTAACCCAATAAAAACTATAATAGCCGGTCTTTGCTAATGATGGAATCAGGGAAGGAATGAAATGGAATAACTTATTCCATTACCTTTTCCATTCCATCCATAAAAAAAAAAATCTTGACATGAGCTGAAATTTCAGATTGTGATATCATTAGAAGGGAGAAAACTCTCACCAGGTAAGATGATCAATTACAAGCCATTTGTAACATCCGGATTCCCATGTATCTTATTTTAAGTATTTTATATTGAATTTCAGAGGGGGACTCGGCGAGTAGGCGCCCAGACTCGCCGAGTTGGATCGCGATGTTTAGGTCAGATTTAATGACGAACTCGGCGAGTCCATATGTGGACTCGGCGAGTCCACGCTGTTTAATTAAACCCTAATTTCTCGGGTTTGGGACCTATTTAAGGACCCTTATGGCCGTCATTTGCGACCACCTTGTTCCAGAGAAACTCTAGAGAGAGTGAGGACGGCTTGAGTGCAAGAAAGGGCTTATAATCTCCATTTTGGGGTGATTTTGCTAGAGAAAGAAGAGAGGATCCATCTAGAATGAGAAGAGAGCTTGGAGTGGGGCTAATCATCTTGAGATATTGTCTTTAGAGGTATGATTCTTTCCATTTCACGTTCATATGGTAGATTTCATAGTTTTAGGGTTTTTCCCTTATAACTTTATGAGATCTAGTGAGCATGAGGTCCCCTTGGTATGAATAACAACAGATATGGACCATGAGAGGTCCCTAGAGCCATTATCTTCCAGCTTTTTGCAAGCAAATAAGGAATTGGAAACTAGATTGCCATTTCTAGTGTCATTTCTCCATTTGAGGATTGTTATGGGTTGCATGCACGTAAAGGTTGCACCTTTACGTGACTTTTGAGTGCTTAAGGGTTAGATCTATGATTTGGCTAAGCAGATCTGACCTCAGGAGGTTGTTTGAGCAAATTCATGGAGGAAACTCACCGAGTCCATATGTAGACTCGACGAGTCGGACCGGGTTGCCCCGGGGTCTGACTCCAGTAGTGACCCGGTGAGTTGAGGGGTGACTCAGTGAGTCGAGTAAGGCTTAGAAAGGGGAGAGTCTGTGGGGACGATGAGACTCGCCGAGTCGTCGTATGCACTCGGCGAGTCTAGTCAATATGGTCAGTTGACTTTCGTTGACTTTTAGGGTTTCGGTCAACATTTGGACTCTTGGGACAAGGAGGGGTAAAATGGTCTTTTACCCTTCTGAGGGATCATAGAAGGGGAGTTAGTCTAGCCTTTGAGAGCCATAATTAATTAGAGTAATTGTTTATGTGATTAGGCGAAGGCTAGTGCGGTATTTCAGAGTTCGAGGGTTACCGAGTTACCCGATGTGAGTCTTCTCACTATACATTACCTAGAGTGGTATTTATGTGTAGACCAGAGGGTCTTGTATGCTATGTGTATGTATGAGATTATGAGCATTGTGTTATATGTATGCTATGTGTTGTATAGACCGGACCGGAGGGTCCAACGATATAGACCGGACCGAAGGGTCCAATGATACAGACCGGACCGAAGGGTCCAACGAGCTATGACCGGACCAGAGGGTCCAACGAGCTACGGGACTGGGGGGTCCCGCTGAGACACATCGACCGGAGGGTCGTATTATAGCCTCGAGTGGCGTATGTGTGGTATGTGGTATTTGGGGAACTCACTAAGCATTTATGCTTACAGTTGTTGTGTGATGTGTTTCAGGTACTAGCGAGGATCACGGGAAGGCGCCGGCATGATCCGTACACACTTATGAGTTTATGATATTGAGAGCTTGGGACATGTTTTGTTATGTTACAGTGGACACATTATGTTTTTATGATTATCGTGTGAATGAAACTATGTTTTAAAATGAAAAATTGTTTTGAAAAATTACGTCGTTACACCATTAATCAATTTTTTTATTAAATGTTTTATTTATTATTCTTTTTAATTATTGGAGCAGGATTCTTTGAACCTTCGCTGAAAATCAAACAGCCGAAGGAGATTTAAATTTTTTATTAGGAAAAATTAACATTTGTATGTATAGATGTTGAGCTAATTGGATCGATAAAATGATAAAACTATGAATAAATGGTTGTATTCTTGTTTAGTTAAAAAAACATTTCTCAATTTATTATATACTAGTTGTGAAAATTCGAACATCCATTTTTTTTTCTAAACCATCATATATTTAACTTATATTATCTGTGATAGGATATAAAAAAACATTTATGCTAAATATGATAAATTTTAATCTTTAAATAATTATACTTCACCACACAAGAAAATGAATTAAAAAAAAAAAGCCCAAGTTTAAAATTTTAAACGCGGATGTGTTGCTAATAGTTATACTTCATCATATATTTAACTTATATTGAAGGGGCCATCAGTCTAGCCCATATGAGCTTTGAGAAAGTTGAAGGCCACATTTTCAATCTGTCAACAGTCAAAGTTTGCAAACTTAACAAAATTGACCCAAAAGTCAAAATTGCAATTCTTATTACGTTCCCTTTTGAGTATACTTGTTTGCTTATCACGAGAACGACGAAGCCTTCGCCTTTGGCCGACGACGCCTCCGTCTTTGGCCAACGACGCCTCCGCCTCCGGTCTCCGGTCGACGACACAGACGAAGTCTCCTACTCCGGCCTACAGCCGCTTCCGCCTCCTCCTTCTTTGACGTTGTTTACAGGTACGATTGTTCATATAGTTTGTAAACATCATCGACTCTATTTAAGCTCAATAGAATTTATGTTTGCAGAGCTTTTATAGATTTTGGTAGTACTAGTGCAATGCTGCTAGTTGGCTAGGAGTCGATAATGGTTATACTGTGTAAAAGTATATATGCTACTCAGTTGTTGGTTTATTAGACCATAATCAGAAAATTTTCTAGTAATCGACAATTTCAACTGGTCTATGATATCATAATCATATTAATTTCTATTAACCTACTTCTGCTTATGATTATTTGATTATTAAGGGACCAATTAATGATCAGTTTAAATGGATAGTAACAGAACTAATTATGAAAAGGTAGTGCAAATTTACTTCATTACTTGTATACTCTTTTATTTATTATTTCATTGAATCTAAAATAAGTATATCCTACTATACATTGTTTTTACAGCTGATTATCCACTAATCACTTTCAAAACACACATCCAAACACTCCCCAGATACAAAAAAACTTGTCTTCTCAATCCCTGTAATGTTAGAGTTTAGTTATTTAGTTTAATTAATAAACTAGACAACAGTACTATTTTCCATAATCAAATAAGCTAATTATTGTATTTCTATAATTATAATAGGTCACAATCATACTTTAATAATTAAGCAACTGTATAAGTAGGGATCAAGTATTATGACTGATTAAACGTCATTAGGTAGTATATATTTTTTGAATTTCCTTTATTTTCAATAAAGATAATACCAGCCAAAATCTTGTTGGCTTTCACCGAATCTCAAGATAATGCATCTACCTTTTCTTATTATATGTATTATCTATAACATCGTATTTCCTTTTCTGGAATAGATCCTAGAGGCAAACCACATATACATTATACAGTTTAGGATTAATAGCCTATTTATTATATGTTTGTGGTTCAGATTTGGATCTGTTACATTCCATGGCCTATTTCTTAGATTCTACTGTTTCACATTTATGATTTTACAATATCTCCTCATTCTATGGTTATATGTTTTCTCTCTTCTATAGAAACAGCTATAGTTATTCACCGTTTCTCCCAATGGTAGAATTACCAGATTTTTACAAAAGATCCCTTCTCTCACCCCCTGTACCTCCTATAAGTACTGCGTGTAACAAACTAAAACAAGGTAAAATATCTAAATTACCCCTGCACTAAGAAGATGCTCTTTTATTTTGCTGATTTCCCACATTACCCTTATCTAAAACCTTGTCCTCAAGGTGGATAGAAATGACGTATAGCATCCAAAATCTCCCCTGTACCTCTAGCTTCTCATTGCTTAGTGGCCGTTTCTTTTTGACAATGGATTTAACTTGAACCAAACTTAATAGATTCAGATATATGAATGTTTCTTTTTTACTTAATATATAAATCATGACTTAATATGCTAAGTGAAGATACGGATACTTTATAGATTTAGATCTTCATTTCCCAGATAACAATGATAGATATGAGATTATGCCTTTATTTTGTATTATTTTTTAAATATGAAACCATTTATTATTTAAATACTTTAAAATAGAACCGTGAAGACATAATTCATTATTTTAACAATCAAATATATCTATAGTGTTTTTTTTTTTTTGTAATTATATTTTTTATAATCATATATTTGACTATTATTAAATTGATAAGTTATTTTATTGTAAACATAAATTTTATAAAAGAGGGTATAATCATCATTTATTCCTATTCAGACATTTTATTAATTCTAGAAAAGAAACAACCTCTAACTATATTCGACTAGGCATCCCTACATATTCAGTCCCTTAGTTCCCATCAAGGCATTAGCAGGAAGCCAAGTACCTCATATATCCTCACTCACTTGAGGCTTCTGTGGATCCTTTACCCTATGGAATCAGTGCAGGGGCTCTTTGGTCAGTCACTTTTTATTTATTTTCCACTGATTTCTAAAGTGGATTTATCAATAACATTAAGCAAATCATCTTGGGAGATCTCCCGTGTCTTTGTTATCTTGTGTTTATTCTTATGGACTTTTCGTTGTTTGATTGCACTTTTTTGGTATGAGTTTTTTATTCTTATGGATTTTTAATTGTTCGTTGTTTTATTCTTTCATGGATTCTTGAATTTCCAAAGCCTTTTCAAGATTCTGAGATCTACAAAGGTTGTATATGAGGATGTTGTATGTGGAAAGATTAGGTGATGCATCTTTTTCAAGATTCTTTCATGGATTCTTGAATTACCAAAACAGTCTATACAAACATTATACAGAACATCAGAGTTGCTTCTCATTTCATATATATATATAAAAAAAGTGTCATAATCTTCTCATTAGTTGGATTAAGTCATAATCTTTAACATATCTTTACCCTCATCATTTTCTATGATCATTTTTATGCTCATTTTCTTATCAACAGGTCTGAGGTTATACATCGGTTGTTTATTTTAGTATTCGAAATGATATATCTTTTTATAAATTTTAACAAATCGTTGTTGTTTATTTTGTTTTAGGGCTGTTACAAGGTTTAAAAAAAACAAAAACCAACAAATCACGTTTGTGTCCAATGACTTGGATTTTCCCCAAGGTAATTAATCTTATTAACTAATATATATATATATATATATATATATATATATATATCCGAAAAGAAAACTCTCATACGTATATAATTGTTTTAGTGTAATCAACAATTGTCCGATTAGGAGTGTGGTTACTACGTTATGAACTGGATGCATGAGTTTGTACTTTTTCGACAACATGGATTTCCGAAAGTAAGTATATTGTTAGATATTTTTTTTCATTTTTGTTTATTGTACTAAAGGCTCACCTTTGTTAAATAACAAATTTTTTATCTTAATTTGTTTGTAGAACATTTGGAAGGACAAAAAACCATTTTCTAGTGAGGAATTAGACGAAATTTTTTTTATGGAAAATGAGATATATAAAAGTAGGATGCTATATTTTGTGTTTTATTGTGGAAGTTTGCAGATTTCCTATTATGGAGGTTGCTGTCCCTTGTATTTCATGTTGTATTTGCTCATATTTTTTATGTTCTGGAGAAGTTTTCATCCTTGCATTGCTATAGATGAAGTTGTTAATGGCAGGAAGGTCCTACAATTTGAGTTTTCTTCATTAAAAGTTATTTCAGATTTTGAATCCTAAGTTTTCTTGTTTTTGTAGGCATACAATGAATCAGCCACAAAGGGGAAAAAGAGGTTAGAGGTGTGACATTAACAAATTTAAGAATGTTTTTATGTTTAATGAACTAGGTATACAAATGATAGTCTTTTAGATTGTATAGACCATAGTCTGAAAGAATATTAATGTTTTTATATTTAATGAACTAAGTTCAATGTAATTTTTTTTTCTGTTTCTGAAAATGAAAACATGATCAATGATGTCCCACTTCTTATGGTTGGAATGGAATCATATAGTAGGTTTGTATTTTGTAGAGATTGATCCTTGAGTTACAATTCACATGGTAATCATATAGTAGCTTTGCAGAAATTGAAGAGTTTGTTTCAGTTGGAATGGTGATCCATGTGTTCCACAGCATCCATGGAGTGGAATTGGCTGTTTAATAAGGCTGGAATAGCTAATGCAAAGCCAGAATGGGGAATGGGGATGTGAGACATCAAGTACTGTTGTGTATTGGTGTATTAGATGTGTATATATGGCGTATTAGATGATTGTATGCGATGGTTGTAAAAAGTAGATAGGATACATATAGTACGGTTAAATAGCCGTACTCTATTATGCATGTAATCTAATTCACCCCTCTACTAATACGCCCTCTATGTACGTACTATATTCATAATTTCAACCGTACTCTATTAACCTTTTTCTAGTAGTGTAAAGAGCTTCGTCATCAAGGATATGATGATATGGATTGATATTAAGAGACTTCCTTTGTGTGCTTGGAGTTGAAATGCGTTCAAGAATATCAGTGGGAGGAATTGTGCTCTTGGATGATGATTAAGACAAGAATGTGGGTTATGGTGAAGTTTCCATTAATACAACGTGTAGTGATAATGTATCGGAGATAGTGATTGTGGTTCTTGATGGGATAGATTATCAACTTCGAGCGTGATGAATTTCTGGGTGGTTTCCCTCATTTGATAAAGATCAGGACTCAGAATAAGAATTTATTGAAACTCGTGTTTTATGATAATTCAGGTGTAGATGATGATAACAATTGTATGTATGATAAGGATGAAACGAAAAGGGTCATTCTGAATATGTTTGAGGAAGAAAGACCTATAAATGCTACTGAAGTAGAGGAAAATATATTCCATGAAATGGTTCAAAATGTTAAGATGGTGGGGAATGAAAAATAGATCATTCGTGACATAAATAAGAAACAATTTGATTTTTTTCGAACAACAAATTTTATAAGAAAATGTAAGCAAAGAGCAAACGAGAACAAACCAAACACCAAACGTTCAAAAAAACACACAACGAAACAAATCTAAAGGCAAACCTAGGATTAGAAAATCAACCTACATAACTAATCTTCTTACTTCTAGTTCTATTCCAAACCCATAAAAACAATTGATTAAGAACTTTGTCCCATAAATACCGCTTCTTAAACCACATTGAATCAAACACAATAGAGTTTCTGAGCAACCAAATAAACCACCAAGTAGTAAAGAAAACACCTTCCAAATACAGCTTGCTAGATGACTGCAACTTCAAAGAACCAAACCAAGACCACTAATCTTCAAAGAAATTAAACGCTGAAAAATTAATATCCAACCAGTTCGAAATCTTATCAAACAAAACAACAACCACATGACACCCAAAGAATAAACGGTTGACATTTGCCAAAAACTCATCACAATTCGGACATAACAAGGAATCAATCTCCACACCTCTACTAACCAAGTTATTTTGCACGGGAAGACGGTTTAAAGATAACTTCCAAACCATAACATTGACTATGATAGGAACCAACTTGTTCCAAAGAGAAGACCTGTCCGAGATAGGCAAAGACAATTTGTTAATTAGAAATCTAGCGGAAGCAAGAAAATAATCATTGAAACTGTCTAAGGACCACCACCACCGATCCTTTAAGGTAGACAAAGAAACCGAGGCCAACAAAGAAAGCAAATCAACCCATTGGCAAGACTCAGTCCCCGTGTAATGACCCAAAACACAAAACCAAAATTTTTTGTTTTCATATTAAATAAAACATCACCCATACATATTTATCAAAACAAAAGGGAAATCATAATGTATTCATAATCATCCAAAACACATCAGAGTCAAACAAGTGAAAAGTCATGGTGTGTGCGATGTGATCATCCCAAACTCTTCCCCTTCGATCCGGAAGTACCTAAAACATAAATTGAAAATCGTAAGCACGAAGCTTAGTGAGTTCCTAAAATACCGCATACCATACATATACGCCAGCTCAAGGTTGTGCGGGGTCTATTTCACCCCTAAGTCTATTTCAACTCATGTGTCGGCCCAGGGCCGTAACGGGTCTATATCATCCCCCGAGTCTATTTCAACTCATATGTCAGCACAAGGCTGTACCGGGTCTATTTCACCCCACATACATAAAGCAAACAGGTACATAGACATACAACACATACAACAGGAGTCACAAAGACTACAAGCACATAACATATCCTAGTGTCCTACAATATAGTGAGCAAACTCACCTCAGTCCGCTGATAAGTTGAATAAATGCTCGCGCTGCTGTACCGTAGAATTCCACACTAACCAATCACATAAAACCCTAATTAATAATTAGGTCATAATCCAAAACCGGGGGTTCTAATCCAACAATCCTGACCCCTAGGGTAAAAAGACTATTTTAGCCTTCTCCCATTATCAACCCATAAACTAAAACCTAGCCCAAAAGAAATCCAATCCCAAAAGAGGACCAAAATCAACTCAGCCCACTATTAGCGCGTACACATGGCGTACCAGGCTCGTATGCCCCATGTACGTGGTCCGATCCAGAATTAGGGTTCGAATCCAGTACGCCCAACGTACTGGTTAGAGACCCTTTTCTTGCCCAAATGTCTTAAACACTTAAGGGTTTAAAGTCCAAACCCCATAACAACATCATAGCAAGGTCTTAATCCATAAAGTCGAAGACTTTAGGCTTTTGCTTAATAAGGTCAAATCTTGGATTTTAACATACTAACTTCATGAAACGACCATCAATCCTTGCATGGTTGAGCTTAATCCATCAAGACACCATTTTTATGCACAAAGTACATCAGAAACACTAAGATCTATCATCATAACCTTCTGAAGTAGCTTATATTCTCAAGAAACACCTTAAGGGACCAAAACAAGCCAAAAACCTTAACTATCTAGAACGAAAAGATGAATCAACAAGGTAAGGACTTGATACCTTCTTAAGAACAATCAAGGTGGCTAAGCTCTGGATCCACAAGCTTTAACACCACAAGTGCAACTTCCAAGAGATCCTTCATTTTTCAAGATCACCAAAAACACCAACAAAGTTCACTTCTAAGCTCAAAACAATCAAATGGCAGTTAGGGTTTCATGGGAGGGCTGATGAGGGAAGGAGACTGGTGAGGGGGTAGCCTCAAGCCTCATAATGGGGATTATATAGGGGTTAAAACCTAAAAATTAAGGTTTATTGAATCACAACGTACTCCCAGCCTACAAAGGTGCCCCCACGTCCAAGTCATGTGAGTACGTCGTGCGTACTCACACCCCCTTACATATTACACCCAATATAATATGCCCTTTCCTTATTCATAATAATCAAACACTTAACCAGATCTGACAAGAAATATAATACCTCACAAAATGGATGTTACAAATCTCCCCCACTTGAATCAGACTTCTTTCTCGAAGTTTGCTGCCGCAAATAACTTTGGGTAATGCTCCCTCGTCTCGTTCACACGTCCACTCAGAACCCTTTCGGTGTAACCATTGTACCTTCACCAATCCCACAACCTTGTTCCTCAAGGTTTTCGTCTTCTGGTCAAGGATCGTCATCGGTCTCTCAATGTAATTCAGGCGGTCATCCACCTGAATGTCCTCCAAAGGAACCATTGCAGAATCATCAACCAAACACTTCTGCAGTTGAGAGACGTGAAAAATATTGTGAATCTGACTAAGCTCCTTTGGCAGATCCAAACGATACGCCACCCTGCCTAACTAGGATAAAACCCAAAAAGGACCAATATATTTAGGGCCCAGCTACCCTGCTTCCTGAATTGGATGACACCTTTCCAAGGTGACACCTTCAGGAGTACCATATCTCCAACCTGAAATTCCAAGCATAACACAAAACATGTATGGGTATTTCGGGAACTTAATTAAGCTCGGTCGATTGCATGCACCACATCTCTTTCTTTTATTAGAAAAAAACTCTTTTTATAAAACATTTCTTTTTATGAAAATCTACCAAACCCTCAATTTGAGTTCAGACATACCCGAGAGTATGCCCAAATCCCTCAAACCAAGGCTCTGATACCAACTTGTAACGACCCAAAACTCAAAACCAAAATTTTTTGTTTTTATATTAAATAAAACATCACCCAAACGTATTTATCAAAAAACAAAAAGGAAATCATAATGTATTCATAATCATCCAAAACACATGAGAGTCACATAAGTGAAAAGTCATGGTGTGTACGATGTGATCGTCCTGGGCTCTTCCCCTTCAATCCAGAATTACCTGAAACACAAAACTGAAAATCATAAGCACGAAGCTTAGTGAGTTCCCCAAAATACAACATACCACACATATACACCAGCTCAAGGCTGTTTCGGGTCTATTTCACCCCCGAGTCTATTTCATTTTATGTGTCAGCCCAAGGCCGTACCGGGTCTATTTCACCCCCGAGTCTATTTCAACTCATATGATTGCACATGGCTGTACCAAGTCTACTTCCCCCCCCCCACACACACACACACATATATATATATATATATATATATATATATATATATATATATATCAAATAGGCACACATGCATACAACACTTACACATCAGGAGTCACAAAGACTACAAGCACATAACATATCCTAGTGTCCTACAGTATAGTGAGCAAACTCACCTCGGTCTGCTGATAAGTCGAATAAATGCTCGGGGTGCTGTACCGTAAAATTCCACACTAACCAATCACATAAAACCCTAATTAATAATTAGGTCATAATCCAAAACCGGGGGTTCTAATCCAAGAATCCTGACCCCTAGGGTAAAAAGACTATTTTTAGCCTTCTCCCATTATCAACCCATAAACTAAGACCTAGCCCAAAAGAAATACAATCCCAAAAGAGGACCAAAATCAACTCAACCCACTGTCAGCGCGTACACATGGCGTACCAGGCTCGTATGCCCCATGTACGTGGTCCGATTCAAAATTATGGTTCGAATCCAATACACCCAGCGTACTGGTTAGAGACCCTTTTCTTGCCCAAATGTATTAAACACTTAAGGGATTAAAGTTCAAACCCCATAACAACATCATAGCAAGGTCTTATTCCATAAACTCGAATACTTTAGGCTTTTTCTTAACAAGGTCAAATCTTGGATTTTAACATACTAACTTCATGAAACGACCATCAACCCTTGCATGGTTGAGCTTAATCCATCAAGACACCATTTTTATACACAAAGTACATCAGAAACACTAAGATCTATCATCATAACCTTCCGAAGTATCTTATACTCTCAAGTGTGACATCCCCATTTTCACGGCCAGAAAAGACCGATTTTGTTTATGCTTTATAAAAATCAGAGTACCTCTTTTAATAAAAATGTTGCGGAATTTGTTCCTAGTAAAGCATGATAAATACGTTATCAAAGCATTTCCGAAGAAAAGT